AGTTGGTTCACTCAAGCTCTTCTTGAAACCACACTGTGAGAAATAATTGTCAATCTCTCCATACCAAGCCCTCGGAGCTTGTTTTAGGCCATAGAGAGCCTTATAAAGCTTGTACACCTTTTCCTCCTTGCCTTTGACTACAAAACCTTCCGGCTGCTCAACATAAACCTCTTCTTGTAGAACTCCATTCAAGTGTCTGTGTGCCATTTTTTTCAATCATAAACAGCTCATCCTCTCTGAGTACTCTTTTTGCAGTTCCATAGTGTTTATTGGTAGGGAAATGCATGAATCTTGCCAATAAACTTGCTGCATACATTATATCCGGCCTTGTAGCAATGAGATATAGAAGACTTCCCATAATGCTTCTATACTTTTCCTCACTTGCAGATCCACTTCCATCATCTTTAGATAACTTCTCAGTAGCTACAAGAGGAGTTGTGACAGTCTTTGCTTCATTTAATCCAAACTTACTCAGTAAAGAACTTGCATACTTCTTCTGATGAATGAAGATGCTAGAGTTAGTTTGAATCACTCTCATTCCAAGGAAGTGGTGAAGAAGTCCCAAGTCTGTCATCTTATATTTCATTTTCATGTCTTCCTTAAACTCTTCCAGCATTGATTTGCAATTGCCAGTGTAGACTATATCGTCCACATAGATAGAAACAATCAAGATATCTTCTCCCCTTGCTTTTATGTATAGAGTTGGTTCACTCAAGCTCTTCTTGAAACCACACTGTGAGAAATAATTGTCAATCTCTCCATACCAAGCCCTCGGAGCTTGTTTTAGGCCATAGAGAGCCTTATGAAGCTTGTACACCTTTTCCTCCTTGCCTTTGACTACAAAACCTTCCGGCTGCTCAACATAAACCTCTTCTTGTAGAACTCCATTCAAGAAAGCCGATTTCACATCTAACTGATACAGTTTCCAGCTCTTTTGTGCAGCCAAGGCTATTAAGGTTCTAATGGTATCCAACCTAGCAACCAGTGCATAAGTCTCATTGTAGTCCAAACCAGGCTTTTGTGCATAGCCCTTTGCAACCAGCCTTGCTTTATTCTTCAACACTGTGCCATCAAGATTTAACTTGGTTTTGTAGACCCATTTAACCCCTATTACAGGTTTTTCAGTTGGTCTGTCAACAAGTGTCCATGTGCCATTTTTTTCAATCATAAACAGCTCATCCTCCATGGCTTTTAACCAAGACTTGTCTTGTTTGGCATCCTCATACTTCTCTGGATCCATAATGCACAGATTGCATTGAGCTAACACTTCATTCAGATTCCGCCACTTCAAAGGTGTATGATCAAATGCTTGATTATGCCCTTCACTTATGTTTGACATGCTTGCAGATTCATCCGAGATAGGTGACTTGAATTGAACTTCAGAGTCTTCAATACTAAGAACTCTCCTAGGTGGAGATAATGTAGGTGATGTAGGAGACAACACCATTCTATCACTGCTTCTTGTACTTATGTCACCATGATTAAAATTTCCAGCATTGGGGGATATTGACTCTGAGTTCTCTTCCCAATTCCAGGCAGCTTCTTCATCAAATACAATGTCTCTTGACAAGAATAGTTTCTTGGATAGTGGATCAAATACCCTATACCCCTTTTCACAAGTTGCATAACCCACAAATACTCCCTTGAAGCTTTTAGGCTCAAGCTTATGTCTGCGTTCAACTGGAATATGAACATAGCATAGTGAGCCAAATACTTTCAGATGTGCTATTCCTGGTTTTCTTCCAGAATAGGCTTCAAAAGGTGTGGTGCTGTTCAAGGCCTTTGTGGGACACCTGTTTAGAATGTATACTGACGTATGCACTGCCTCTGCCCAGAGAAAATATGGCATTTTCTTCTCATGCAACATGGATTTAGCCATCTCAATCACCGTTCTGTTCTTCCTCTCCACTACTCCATTTTGTTGTGGAGTATATGCAAGAGTGAATTGCCTTTGTATTCCTTCCTTTTCACAGAATAGATCGAATTCAGACGACTTGAACTCCCCTCCTCTATCACTTCGCAGACACTTAATCTTGAATCCACTTTGTAACTCTGTCATAGCTTTGAATTTCCTAAAACAATTGAATGCATCAGACTTATATCTCAGAAAATAAACCCAAGTCATTCTGGAGAAATCATCTATCAACAGCATGAAATACTTATTTCCAGCAATTGAATCATTCCTCATAGGTCCACATAGATCAACATGAACCAGTTCAAGTGGAGTAGTTGCTCTTTGCGCTTGATTTCTTGGAAATTCTTCTCTATGTTGTTTTCCAAATTGGCAGCCTTCGCATACTCCACTGTAGTCTTCAAGCTGAGGCAACCCATGCACCATTTCCTTGTCCCTCAATTGTTTGAGACCACCAAAATGCAAGTGTCCAAGTCTCTTGTGCCAAGTCTCAGTAGAGTGAGTGACACTAGCTTTTAAAACCACTTGGTTCTCAGATAATAAAACCAATGGATAGCATCTATTCACTTTCTTCTTCACTTTCATAACCAAGCTTTCCAGTGATGGACCATCATACACACTGCACATTCCACCACCAAACACCAAGAAATATCCATGCTCATCCATTTGACCTACACTTAGCAAATTTTCTTTTAAACCAGGCAGATACATTACTTCTCTAACATACTTTCTGCCCTTATTTGTATCAATCACCAATGAGCCCATTCCAGCTACATTCACAAGATCTCAAGTCGGCATTTGAACTTTGCCAGCTATGTTGGTTCTTACATCAACAAGCAATTCTATATTCCCTGTCATGTGATTGCTACAACCACTATCGATGTACCATTCTCCATTCACCCTTGGTCATGTGACTGTGCTATTTGCATAAAATAAATTCCCTGTCATCTCCAATTGACTAGCATTGTTTGCCTTTCGCATTGTTTTAGCTGCAGTACATTCTCTAGCCAAGTGACCAAATCTGTCACAATTGTAGCACTTTGGCTTGCCTTTGTATCTGCATTCTCCAAAATGGTACTTTAAGCACACTTTACACTGAGGCTTTACAGCTTCTTGATTTGCTGGCTGTGATGAATTGAAGCTGTGATATGGTGCAGTGTTATTCTGATGTGTCTTTCCTTTTGACTCCCATGGTTTCCCCTTAGGATTCCAATTCTTCTGAGACTTCTGGCCACTGGACTGAGAATTTCCCCTGTTTTGTTGTCTTTTTGAGCTCACAGAGAAGGAGGCAAATGCCTTATCAGTAGCATCAACAATGTGCATATCAAAACGTTGTTCCTGGCTTTTAAGGATAGCAAGGATCTCCTGTAATTCAACAGTCTCTATATTCTTCGTATTCTCAATTACAAGACAGATAGGATCATATGGATTACTAAGACTAATCAGAACTTTCTGCACAAGTCTTGCATTAGGCAGAATTTCACCAAACGTTTTCATCTGATTTATCAACTCATTTAGCCTAGTAAGATACCCAGACAAGGTTTCATCATCACGCATTCTAGCATATTCGAATTCGCGTCTCAGATTTTGCAATTTCACAGATCGTACCTGATCACCACCGTGATATTCTCTGTACAACAAATCCCATGCCATCTTCGCTGACTCACCATTGGCGATTCACCTGATCACCACCGTGATATTCTCCGTACAACAAATCCCATGCCATCTTCGCTGACTCAGCATTGGCGATTCGAGGGAAGATTTGATCCGAGACTGCATTCTGAATGATTCCCAAAGCCTTTGCGTCTTGCATCAACACAACAGCCATTTTTCCATCAACATCATCCTCCGATGATTCTTCAGCCTTCTTCTTCTCTGAATCAGAAGTTTTAACTCCCTTCTCTACCAAATTCCACAACCCATGTGATTTGAAAATCGTCATCATCTTGATTCTCCAGAACTCGTTGTTCTCACAGGAGAAAATTGGAGTTCTCACTTCGGAGCCTCCAGATCCAGACATCTTTGGTCTGAATGGGTCGATTCCTCTTCTCAGATGATAATGGGTCTATGGCAGCTTCCACTGAGCTTCAACTCAGCTCAATGGGTTCACAGATTTACGCCCAAGCTCAGATGATCAAACCTGGCTCTGAGGCCATGTTAGAGTTTATGGTTTTCTTGCTGGGTTTTTGCGAATGGTTTTGTAAGAGAAGAATAGAATAATCGGATAGAATGAGACAAGTGCTCTGCTTACACACAAAGTATGTATGCAAGACGTTTTGTATATATTTTGTCTGTATGTAAGAATGGATCTCAACCATCCATCTGACCAAAAACTAAAGTCACCACATATAACTATTTTGACCTCACACTTGGCAGATATGCTCAAGTGAATATAGACATAAAGTTCATCTTATTACACTAATACTAATCAGCTACAGACTTATAATTCAACAATTTTTATCTCAGGCAGGCAAGGACGTTATGATCAAGGCCGTTGCCACGACATTGCCGACATACGCCATGTCTTGTTTGAAACTGCCTATAAGCTTATGTAAAGAAATTAAAAGTGATATCGCCAATTTTTGGTGGAAAAATTCCAAGGATGGCCGTGGGGTTCATTGGGTGAGTTGGCAAAAGATGAGCAAGATGAAACACATGTGAGGTATGGGTTTTTGGGACCTGATTTGTTTTAATTTGGCCCTTCTAGCAAAAATTTGCTGGAGGATCGTATGCTCTCCTGACTCTTTCTAAGCCCGACTTCTACAGGATAAATATTTTCCAGGGTATGATTTTTGGTCTGCAGGTGCAGGGAGGGGTTCTTCATGGGGATGGAAAGGGCTAATTCAAGGGCGACGTGTTCTTGAGGCTGGTGTGAGATGGAGAGTGGGCAACGGGGAGAGTATCCGAATCCGTGAAGACCGATGGATGCCTCAACCTTATAATTTCAAGTTCCAGTCTTCTCCAGTGTTTTCGAAGGAAAACGCCCGAGGCGGTCTGCTGTTTAGCGATCTGCACGTTTGGCGCCAGGAAGGCGTGAGGAGGCGTTGCAAGGCGTGTCCAGGCGAAGCGAGGCGGAGCAAGGCGAGCTAGATCTGGAAACTTCTGAACTAGAAGAAATTTGCGAATCTGCAGATGTCTACAAGGAAGACGAACTCGCGAGGAAGACGACTCCTTTTTTTTTTTTTCTTCCCTTTTGAGGTTAATGAAACGACGTCGTTTTGATTGCAGTGTTTTGAAAACAATATTAAAGTGAAACGACGTCGTTTCACTTGGAATGTGTGGGAAAAAAAAAACACGCAAGTTGTTTTTTTATCTGACCTTTATTGTAATAAACCTCAGGCAAGAAGAATTAATAGTGGGAAATATGTTAATGAAACACGCAAGTTGCTGTAGCTTTTCCACTTACCTTTTTTTTTTCTTCCCTAAATTAATATATTTACACATAGACTTATATATATATATATATATATATAGTATAGTACAACCCTAATTTCTACCCTTACCAATAATCTCCATCAATTTCAAGAATTCTCTTCATCTTTTGACTGCAAGTAAGTCATTTTATTTTTCTTTCTAATTCTTCTCAACTGTAATTTGAAGTTCCGTATAATTTTTTTCAATTTTTTTTTTTAAAATATATTAGTTAACTTATTCGTTTATGCGATATAGTAGAAATTTGATGTAGATGCATCATACTTGTATCTTTGATAGTGGGAAATATCCTTTTCATATTGATACAGTTGATCAATATGATAGTGATGCTAGTTTGAATGATATTAGTGTTGAAGAGTGGGATGAGTGAATTATGTTTTTGTTTTGATGTTGAATAAATATTTTATGTTTTGGGATTGATTATTATGCTTTGAATGACAATTAGTACTTATATTTGATTTATTTAAAAGATTGTTATGGTTGAATAAGAATTAGTTGTACAATTTAATTGTATTGTATTATTCATAAATTTTTCTTATTAAAATAAATTAATGTTCAAAAGACTTACGCCTCAATGCTTCAAGGCTTACGCCTCGCATAACGCTACTAAAAACGCCTCGCCTATGAAAACATTGGTCTTCTCACCTTGAGTTGCCTGTGTGGGTTAAAGATTTGATTGATCCTGTTACGAAACTTTGGAGGCGGGATGATGTGCAACGGTGGTTTTCTGAAGCTGAAGCAAAGCTTATACTTAATATGCCCATTAGTCGTAGGGGATGCCCTGATAAACTCCTATGGCATTTCTCAAAGCATGGTGACTATACAGTAAAGTCAGGTTACGAACTTGCTGCCTGTTGGTGGTGGGAGTGTGTGGGAGGGGGGTGGGGGGGGGGGGGGGGGGGGGGGGTAGTAATCAAAAGGTGCAAAAGTCATTTTGGAAGGGCATCTGGAGTTTGAAGGTAATTCCAAAAATAAAATCTTTTATGTGGCAGGGGTATTTAAACTCTTTAGCAGTGCGGGACAATTTGCGACGTCGGCATATGGATGTGGAGAACAAATGTGGGTTTTGCGATTGTGAAGGTGAGACTCAAATGTATTTATTTTTCCAGTGTGAATTTGCCCTGCATTCTGGTTCGCTTGTCCTCTCCAATTGGATACTTCTACTATTGAGGGCAATGATTTTGCATCTTGCTGGGCTTTTCTCAAGCGGAAATATGCTGGTTATGAGCATTCTGTGGAGCTTTTGCAAGCACTTGCTTACGGGCTTTGGCGAATTTGGAAGTGTCGTAATTCTATGGTATTCCAAGGCTTACAAATTAACCCGAGTGATGCAGCTAGTATTATGATAGTGCAGGTGGGGGAATATAGGGAGGCGGTCTTGTCTAAGGTTCCGAGGATCAATGAGCTACCTAGACCCCCTGACCAAGCTCAACAAGCTCAGGCGTTATGGGAAAAACCCAGGTAAAGCAAATTGTGATGGGGCTTGGGTAGTGCAAATATGGGAGGTGTTGGGTGGGTGATCCGAGACTTCGTAGGTTGGATGATGCAAGCAGGAGGTCAAGGAGATTTGCGGTATGGGTCTGCTCTTGTAGCTGAAGTAGATGCTATCCGTACGGTGTTGTTTGCTTGCCAGCAAGGAGGTTTTGATCGTGTCATGGTGGAATCCGACTCTCTAATCGCCATCCAAATGGTGAATGGAGAAAGACTAGTGGATGCGGAGGTCGATGGTTTGATTTTCGATATCTAGGCTATGACCAGAGAACTCCAAGAGGTGATTTTTATTCATGCCCCTCGCAGCTATAATAAAGCTGCTCATGAGGTTGCATCTTTTGTACATAAGAATGGTGGTATCCATCATTGGGATTTTGTTCCTCCTGAATGGCTGTTTAATACTTTGGCAGTTGATGCCAAGGTTAGCGTTCGGCTTTAATAATATTTGCCTTTTTTCTGGAAAAAAAAAAAGAAAAGAAAAAGGAAAGAATATTGTGGGTGTTGGTCGGACCATATGCTTCTAGTATTAAATGGTGTCTTTTCAATGGGCGCTTACAAAGATTCAACAGTATCTTATAATTAATGGAAACCCCAAATATCAGATTCCAAGTTTGGCTTGACTTAACCTTAAAAGAAAAATACAAATTTATAAATAAATCCAATCCTAGACATGTATTTATAAAAAAACTCTAACACTATTTAAATATAGAAACACACCCAAAATCAACCCCAAAATCAACAATTGTATATTTTTTGGGTGTGTTTATAAATGGGTTTTGAGTGTGTGTAATGATGGATTTTAGGTGTGTTTATAAAGTGTTTTGGGTGTTGGGTTTTTTTATAATTTCAACCTCCATTTTAGGTGTTTTAGTGAAACCCCCAAAGAAAAATTAGGTACTAGACATAATTAACTTTACTAATTAGTATTTGAGACATTGGGTATTTTAGATTGAGTTTTAATACCTAGGAAAGAATTGTTATTTTGGATAAGCTGTATGGCTAAGTAATCTCATAAACACTGTGATAAATGAAATTTTGCACTGCTATTTACAGGACGGGAAAGTATTCTACTAGAAAAGAATTACAAGGAATAAATGCTCATATAATTGAAAATAATTTCTTCTTTTCTTTTCTGTTTTTTTTTTAAGAAAGATAAATTTTCCTTAGAAGGAGTGGCATTGTGTGTAATTTTGATATTTTTTAATTATATTATTGTAAAATTAGGTACTACTTTTTGGTCTTTGGCCTTATGTTAATTAGATGAAATTGTATTCCTATCTTCCAAATTAGTAAACTATATTGTGTTTTAAAACTAGAACTCCCTTGTTTTAAATAGCTTGTATTGTTTCATTACCAATTACTTAATTATTACTCATGAATCAATTTATGTTGAAACATGTTTACGTATCAGTAATGGGTATGGGAAGGAATCAGAGAATTCAGGAATCGGAGAACTACTGAATCGGTATGGGAAGAATCATTCCCATTACGCTGTTTACTAAACATACGGAATTAGTTAAGGAATGGGGTTGATTCCCATTGTTATTGTTTACTAATTTTCATGAATCAGAATCCAAATTAATTTGATTACTAAAATGCCCTACACATTTTCACTACAACACATATATAATTCTCAATAATGCGGTGTAAACATGATTTGCACAAGTGAAGTAAGGGGAAGCAGCAGCAGAGCCTCAGTAAAAAAAAAAGGTCAAGCTTTGAGGATTCGA